TATTATAAAAGCATATTACAAAAATAAGTTCAAAAAGAGAGGGTTCTTCTCAAGGAATACCAACAAAAATTAAGCGAAGATTTAAGTGCTCTTGTTCATTCAATTATAGAAGCAACTATCAACAATCTTTTTTTTTTTTTTTGAATATTTTGACATGGGATGGGTTCGAAACTCTCCCAGGGGAGAGGGAAATGCACTTATTCAAGGGTTAATGCCATTGATCCTCTGGAACTAGGTGCAACTATCAACAATCTTTAAAAATTAATCTAAACAGAACTTATATTAGTGCCTAATATCTTGCAAGACTACTATGTTAAATTTGATGAATAATTTTTAGGTCAAGGTTTAATTGGGTCATTCTGTTTGTTCCAAAAAACTATAAAATTGAGTCATTCTATATTTGGATCAACCAACTAACCCAACTCTCTGAACCCATCAACAATCCACCACAAATTTGGGTTGGGCCAGTCTTTTGGATCCTCGTTCTGTTATCCAAATCAGCCCACTTTAGAAGATCAATTTAGGCCATGATGTCACTGAGGATGAGTGTTTTAGACATTTGGAGCTGAATTTCAAGTTTAATTAATTGAGCAAGATGGAATAGGTAAATGATGGTGTTGGGACATACCAATTGTGCAGTTCCCAACTTTGGGTTTAAACTTTAAAGGCAAGTCACATGCAGGTGGAGAATCAAAATTGTGAGGTGGATTATGTGTAGAGATTAGTATTTACTAGATTTGAGCATTAAGACGGATGTAGAATTGCAAAGGTTATTTGGGAAAACTGAAGAAAGGAGTGTCAAGTGCCATTCCTCACCGTATAACCATATACCAATATATAAGAGTTTAGCTAAATTGATATCTTATAAATTTAAAAACTTTGATTTGAGATTAAGATCAGAGGTTTAAATTTTTATATCGTTAAGCAACTAACATTTTAATATATAAAAAAATAAAAAATTATACAATTATCATCAAATGTTAGATGTAATTAATAAGCCAAAAAATTCTAACAAATTGTGCAGTTGCTTTGGTAACATTTGAACTCAAACCATGGATGCTTCCGGCTACATTTCCTAAACCTAAACATTCAAAAGCTTGAAAGCACATTCAACATGGTAGCTTGACCAAACTTGACTTCAGCCCTTCTCATCAAGATATAATGGCATTACTTTCTGTCTCTGTCACCGAAACTATTCCAATTCTAGACTGCAATTATTGAATTCCATGAAACCAAATTCTGCGATGACAGTTTGGCTGCATACCCATTTCAAATCTCTTTCTACAGAACATATCGTAGCATTTTTGCTTGTATGGCCCCCGGCCCCCAAGTGAAAAATACTGAAATTAAAGAATCCCACGATGTCAAATCTTAGCCAGACATTTCATCAAACAAACTCTGTGCATCCTCTGGTCACCTGATGTAACAAAGCTGTACACTTCACGGACTTGATAACTCGCACATGTAATGCACATCAGGGGGAGACACTAGAGCTAGAACTGAACAAGAAACTCTGTACATCCTCAGCTCACCCGATCTAACAAAGCTATACACTTCACAGACTCAATAACTTGCACATGTAATGCACATCAGGGGGAGACACTAGAGCTAGACTGAACAAGATGCTGCTCGGCAAAGCAAACTCCGGGCTTGGAGCTGTTAAAGGCGTCGGTTGATACAAGTCCCACATCGATTAAGAATACCCAGTTTTAAAGCCTTATAGTGGCACAAAGGCGGAGATTCATCTAACTTGGGGGTGTGGGGTCGGGAGAGGCACGCTAAACTCAAACCCTAAACTCTACCCTCCCTTGAAGTGGGGGATTTAGGCTGTGGGGTCTTTCTCCGACGTTTCCCCCGTGTGGTGAAAAAAGAAACATCGTCGCCATTGCGTGCTATCTCCCGACGTTGAACTATTAACCCACGAGGGGACTTGAAAGGAAAGTCCTGCCTTGCACCAACCGGTGTTATGCGGGCTTCCTCCCCCTCAAGCACTCCATTTTTGAAAATGTTCTTGGTTCTTTTTATCTGATGTTGAAGTTGCATGCTTAGAACATATAAAACCAATTAAGATAAAAAAAGAAAATAATTTACTTTTATTTAACATTACAATTCATGATCATATCTTAATTTTTTAAATTCAAGATAAATGTTACATAGACTAGTTTGAATCACTGAAAAATAAGATTAGTAAGAGTGTGATGAAAATTTATAATCATAAAATTAAGATGACTAATTTAAGATGAAAAAATCAAGGAAGAAGGCAAAAGAAGCCTCACATCACTTTTCTTGATGTGTCAATTTATAATCGATTAGTTTGAATCATGACAACGTTGTAATTGTTACATTGACGAGAAAGTGAGAAAAGTAAACAAAGGAGGATGAAAAAGATAGGAAGGGAAAGGGAAAAAGATATAGGAAGAGGATTAGAAATTTATTAACTTTTAATTGTTATTTATAATATTTATGTTCAGTGTTTTCAAAGAGCCGATGATATGGTTGGAAGGTGAGATCCTTAATATTAATTTTTTTTTTGTCCAAAAGCTCGATTATCAGGATATCTTATATACTTTAGATCCCCAATTAAGTAGTCCTCAAGTCTGTTTATGTAATATTTAGTAATTAATAGTTCTTTGTATCATCTGTTATTGATGTTATATATATAGGTTTAGTTCCGTTTTATTATGCCTATATGTCACAATTCATTGCCATTTCCATATAACCTTCACTGATTATTAATGAATTTCTTGAATTTTATAAAAGAGATCAAACCAACTAGTCGGTTGAAATGATTTTCTGTCACAAGAACGATTTAGTTAAAATATATTACAAGTTGATCAATCAGACTAATTAGAACTTGCTGATCGATCAACTAAATTGATGACTAGTGATCAAAACAATTCAATCACCGTTCTTAAAAACACCATGTAATTTTTCAATGAATATTTGTTACCATCTAGCAGTCTGATGAGTATTTGTTGGCCTTATGTCACTAGGTAATTTTCAATGAATACTTTACTATCCTTTGTAAAAAAAAAAAAAAAAGCGCCATGTAATTTTTTTTTTTTTTAATGAAAGAAGCAAATAGTATAATGAAATAGGAGTGCAATAGGGGTGTGATAGAGCACTATGTGATTAGCTCTAAATCCTACCTAATCCCATAAAAAAAAAACACCAGGTAAAATAATTACTTGAAGTTAGTAAATGTTAGAAGAAGTTTGTAGTGATAGTACAGACATGATTGTGAATTGAAAATGCAAGAACAGAGAACAAAGCAATGAATGATATTTCCTTTTGAAAATCTCTGTAAAGAAGGATGCAACCAAAATTCTTAGAGCTGTTCTGGATATTATTGCTGAGGAGGAGAGGAACTGTGGTTGGGAGACTTCAGTTTGGCACGTGACACATTTACCTTGTTTTATTCATAAAAAAAAAAAAAACATTTACCTTGTTTTAACTTTTAATTAATTCTTACCAACCACTTGTTGGTTTGAATTGGTTCCTCTTAATCAAGGTTTGATTTTTATTATTGTAAATAGAGAGACAGGCATTGGAATCTGAAAAAACTTCTCCCTTATAAGATTCAACTTGGTTCCACTCCGAATTAGTTAGGTATAATACGACTTTTGGATATTAAATGTTTAATAAAATAATTATTAATTAATCCTTGTTGTTAGTTAAGAATAAGAATTGGTTTAATATATACTTTAAAGGTACATATTAAAGACATATTAATTACACTTTTTGGCATTAATTTGTGTTGAAAAAAATATAAAAATTAACTTCATTTTCAACACCATTAATGTATGTACAATTTTAATTAAATAGTTAATAAAATTATAATTAAATTTAATTTTTTTAATAACAATTAATGATAAAAAATATAATTAATACAGCTTAATAGAAAAACGCTAAAAAAAAATAATCATTGTCTTCTTTTCTTAATTAATTTAGTTTGAAACAGAAAATCTTGTCGGGTGGCACTTGGATGGTTCACATAATCCATAAAAAGGGGGACCTTATGGTGCATTATTGTTTCATTGAAAATGATCAAGTGGAATGGTTCACATACTTATAATAATCCTTGAAAAAAGGAGCCTTATGGTGCATAATTGTTTCCTTGAAAATGATCAAGTGGAATGGTTCACATACTTATAATAATCCTTGAAAAAAGGAGCCTTATGGTGCATAATATTGTTTCCTTGAAAATGATCAAGTGGATGGAACTGCTACTATAGTAGAAGGAAGGGCTGAAAATAATGCGTCTATAAAGCTTTAAAATTAGTGAATATGACTAAACTCGGCTTATTGGCTGTTGCTTCACAAAAGGGAGTTCATCGCAATTTTTTACCTTAGCCATGTTCCTAGAATTTTTTTGAGAGATGTTAGGCATGCCATTATAGGGTTTAGCAATCTTAAGTGTTAAATTAATTAATAAGTATTGTTTTGTATATTAAATTTAAAATTCAAGTTTTGTGATCAATATTAAAAAAAAAATTTTTTTTGTAAATACACCAAATCAATAGAAGGGATATGTCTTTAAAATTATCAACGGAATAATTAATCTTGAGGAATGTATTAGTTGGACAAAAATACCCTCATTGACCAAACCCAAAAAAAAAAAAAAAATTTGTAAGGGTTTAGGTTTAACATATCATTAAACACATGTTGGGTTCTCATAACCTAATGAATAGACCTATAACATTAACAAAGGAAAAAGAGCATAAAGTACCAAACGAATCAAGTGAACGATGCTTGTGTCGCCTTGGTTGAGAAGCCACAATAAAATTCTAGCTAATCCCAAAGAGGAATGAAGACTATTTTCTGTGGATTTCTCTGCGAATGGCTGTTGAATCGTGGAGTGGACAGAGGAATCCATTATATCAATGTCTCTATTCCCAACTCAAGTTATTTTCAAAGAAGTATGCAAGTTCTAGGAGTAAAATTTCAAAGTTCTGTTGATATGTTGACACTCATGTTCTGCATGGTCCATGTGGCCGGAAGAAAAATCTTATTAGTTGATTTCGTTAATTTATTATTCGTAGAGTACTGATATATATGTAGATCCAGCAAACACAAGGCTAAAGTCGTAGTTGGTTTGGCGGAGCCATGTTCCGTGGTGTTGGTGCATCCCCAATTCCCACTACACTAGCGGTTGTTAATTACTTGTTTCCTAGCACCTTTGAAAAGCGGCAAAAAAGCTATATTTAATCCTATACTATACTGTTCTATATTTTTAAGTGATTATTAAAATGAATCTTTATATATATTTAAAAATTCTACTTTCATATTTCAAGTTAAGTAAAAGGATATTTATTGATATATTTTTTATTTAATATATTTATTAAAAATTATTATTTTGAGTATGAAATTAAATGTAAATAAGTTTAAAAATGTAATCATACATATAATATGTAAAGATTAATTAAATAAGTTGTATTTATATTATTTTTTAATAACTAAATTAGGTGAGTATAAAAAAAGTATTAAATTGGAGGATATTTTAATCATTTTCTTAAGTAAAATTTGTGCTGTGGCATCTTAGTTGAAATTAATTAATCAAAATTTAACATAAATGTAATCATGGATCATCATTTTGATTTTTTCTTCAATAACCGTTAAGCACAGGAAGGAGGATGAAACCATCTTCTACCGCATATTGGGCTAATCTCACATTAATTAACGTTAAGTGAAAAAATTTCATATTGAATATATAACAAAAAAATATGTGAGTTAAATACATGAAAAGCTGTTTTACTTATTATCAATTAATTTAAAGTTGGATATAAATTTTTTATTGAGATCCATATACATAATTTTCATATAGCATCAAAATTCAGCCCTCTTTATTAGCCTAGGTTGAAGTTGATTTTGGATTTGCATATATGGAGGCTTATAACGGACTTACACATGAAGGGAGTTACTTTACTTATTGCTAATTGGTTTTTGGTTATATTCACAATTAATAAGGGAAGCCTGGACTGTGATTTGGTTTAAGGATTTTCGGGGAAGAAGCAGACAGCCAACAGAAGATAACTGAACTAATTAAATATAGAACTTTTAGTTGGATTAAAGTAAACGTGTGGTTTGATTTTTCCAGTGAGCTCCGGTATAACGAGCTTTTGAAAGCATGCAAGAATATGCTGAAATGATATATGCTGTTTTCTTGTGGTCTGGATTTTTCTGCATTTTTACTACTGGCAATGGCTGCTTGCTTAAGGGAGGCCTATTTCTAAGTTTGGTCTTTTCGTGGGGACTGGTTGGTTTTTGTTGACTTATACCTACCTTGACAGTTAATTTGTTGTCGCTATTAATTGGGTTGTGGACTTTATTATCTCATGTTTGTATTTCATGGGATGAAGTATATTCTTTATATTCTCATTATTAATAACAGATTTTCTTTGCGGGTAAAGAAAAAACAAAATCAGAAGAATGGGCCTTGAAGAACTAATCTCATTCACATTGAAAGCATGAGGAAAATTTATTCTAAAAGATGTACAAAAGTGCATTTCAATAATCATTGAAAATAAAAGGGAAAATGTATACCCTATTCACCTTGAGAAATTTTTGTGATATACACCCTCTATTTCAATTTAATTAATTAATTATTATTATTTTTTTACTTCTACTTGACATTTTCTCATTTTAATATATCATTAATTTCAATTTTTTTCAAATTTACCCTCCCCAAGTCGCCAATCCATTAATTTTTGGTAATTTTTTTTTAATGGTGAATTGGTGTTGATAATATATAGAGATTTATTACACATAAGTATATATTCTTTTAAAATTTTTCTAATTAAAGATATGATTTTTTTCATTACTAAGTAAAGTTATTACTTTTCAAAAGTTTTTAATTAAAGATATAACTTTACACATTCACTTAATCCATTTTTAAAAAAATAAAAAATATCATATTCTTAATTAAAAAAGATGGTAACCTAGATTAATAAAGAAAAAAAGTTATAAACTTAATTAAAATTTTTTAAAAGATTATGTCTTTATTTGTTCAAATCTCACAGTATATTAAATAATCAAAGTTGGAAATTTGAAACTTTAATTTTAAATAATTCAATTAAGGTTATGGCAAGTAAGATTGTAAGTTTAAAATTATAATAAATAATTAAATAAATTGATATATACATATTATGAATAGACTTTTAAATAAAAAGATTTAATTATATAACAAAGAAGTTAAATAATGTATTTAGTTCCTTAACTTATTGTTGTGGTACTGTTTTGGTCCCTTAACTTTTTTTAATATTATTAGTTCCTCAACTCATGATCAATTTGGTAGATATTTTTTTTGTTTGAAAAACTGTTTTGTAATATAAATTGTATCAAATTGTAAAATATAAATATTTTAATTGAGGACAAGTCCCTAAATATTAGATTCTCTTTTACATCCAAAGATTCATATTTTATAATCAAGTACAAACCAAATTATAAAACAAGAGACTATTTTTTGTGTTCTTCTATTTAATGGCCATGGAAAAATTATTTCATTAAATATATTTAAATAAGAAATTTTTATACCTACGAAGAAAAACTTTTATCATATAAAGTATAAACAGTATTTAAACTTTTATCATATGAAGTATAAACAATATTTAAAACGCATAAATATTACATTAGTGTTTTGTTTTTGTAAATAAAAAA